GATTGAAGTCTACGGCAAGAACCATTGACTTGGGAAGATAATATACAGGTAACGCCTTTAGATGTGGTATTTACTAATTCTTCTTCTCGCACATGGAAAAACATATACAAGTATTAGGTATCAATACAACATAAAGACTATTCTAGAGGAATTTCAATTGAATCAAGACTGATTAGACACTTTGTGCGAAGCACTGTGCTAGGAACAGATAAGTAAGAAATGGTGTCTGCCCTTAAGCTCAGTTCATATGGAAGAGAAATGGAAGCAAATAACTACTGTATTATGGGACTGATGCAATAAAAGATAGATGCTAGGTACAGTGGTGTCCGAAGGTAGTGCCTCCCAAACCTGAATGTACACAGGAATTGCCTAGACAGCTGGTGTAATGCAAATGTGAGTTGTTAAGTCTGAAGTAGGGACTGACATTCTGCATTTCCAACAAGCTCCCACGCTTTGGATAATGAGGTGTTGAGATGCAAGGCAACTGGGCTTACATGGCTCCTGCAAAGACCTCTACAGGGCTGGTGGGAATTTTCTGGGGAACTTTGGAAGGAAAGGACATTCCAGACAAAAGGAACGGCTCAGTCATGATGAGAGACCAGCAAAGCTGAGTAAGGCATAGAATACAGTTCAAGAACACATAGAAAGAAGAGACGACCCTAGGGGCACCTGGGTGGCTCAGTCGGGTCGGACTGCAGCTCAGGTCATATCTTGAGGTTCATGGGTTCGAGCCCCACATCTGTGATGTCAGCTCAGAGCCTGGAGCCTGCTTTGGATTCTGTGTCTCCTTGTCTCTATGCCCCTCCCCTGCTCATCCTCTGTCTCTCTCTGTCTCTCAAAAATAAATAAATAATGTTAAAAGAAAAAAAAAAAAAAAGAAGAGACAAACCTAGATTGGTAGGGAGAGGCGAGATCAGAGAAGCATCTTGTGCCTTAGAAGGATGTGGGCTTTTTCCAACAGGCAATGGGAAGCCATTAAGAGTTTAAAAAAAAATTTTGTTAACGTTTATTCATTTTTTGAGAGACTGAGCATGAGCAAGGGAGAGGCAGAGAGAGAGAGGGAGTCACAGAATCTGAAGCAGGCTCCAAGCTCTGAGCTGTCAGCACAGAGCCTGACATAGGGCTCGAACTCACTCACAAGGCGGTAGGATCATGACCTGAGCTGAAGTCAGAGGCTCAACCGACTGAGCCACCCAGGCGCCCCACCATTAAGAGTTTTTAATAAGGGAATCATTCAGTTAGATTTATGATTTGGAAAGTCAGGGACGGCTGGCTGGCATAGTTGGGGGAGCACGAGACTCCTGATGTAGGGGTTGTAAGTTCGAGCCCTGTGTTGGGTATAGAGATTACTTAAAATAAAAAATCTAGAAAAAAAAAAGGTAACGTGATAAACAATTATGTTTATTCTCATATTATTTGTAGTACTAAAAAGTGGAAACAGCAAAAATGTCCACTAGTAAGGGCCTAGTTAAATTATGTACAACCATAGTTGAATACCATAAAACCATTCCAAAAGAGAGATCTATATACATTGATAGGAAAGCAAGCCATGTATTACATTAATTATAAAAAGTTAAGCCATGCATATTTTAAGTATACACACGCTTACACAATACAGAAAAGACTGTAACTATATATATATTTGCTTATTCACACGAGATCATTTCTGTAATGGATAAAAATGAGCGATGGTTACTGCGGGATGGGAAGGAAGCAGAAGACGGGCAAACTGCCATCCAGTGTGTGAGAGGCTGCAGCCCTAAACTGGGTGAACTGGGTGGCGGGCAGAGACAGGAAGGGGGCAAAGGTCAGATGATCTGGAGATGGGATAGAGGAGGCGGGATGACCGGCGATCTTAGTAAGGTTCCCAGGCTTCAGGCCCGGGTGACAGGCAGATAGTGGCGCCATTTTCCAAGAAAGGGAAGCATGTGAAGACACAGAGCAGTACAGTTTGGGACATGCTGAATTTAAGGTTCAGTTAGGGGCTTTGGCAGCAGCTTCCGGGGTCATCGGAGAAACAAGCCTGGTTGGGAAGTGGAGACAGACACAAAGAAAGGGGACTTCTTGAGGAAGCCTAACAACAAAAGGGAGGGACTAGCACTGGCTAAGAGATGACGGGGGAGTGTTCTGTTTTCAGGAAGAGCCGTGGGCATGTCCCTACGCTGAGGGGACAGGACTGGCTGAGGAGCAGAGGAGGAAACTATAAAACCACGAAGCAACATCACTCCGGTGGCAGGTAGAATCTGAGGCACGAGGACAGCCGTAGACTGATCTTCGGCTGAATTAAGAAGTAGACATGGCTGCAAAGAAGTTTGTGGAATGTGGGGTAGACTGTTCAATAGAGTCATGCTAAGCGGCCTTCATCTTTTCTATTTGGGAAGACAGAATGGCCAGATGGGGCAGGTATCCTGGGGAGAATTTGTAAGAACAAATGAGGGGAGTGGCAGAGGAGCCGACCTTCCCAAGGAAGGAGCCCTGGAGACCACATATCAGAGCTGGCATCCATCCGCTCAGCCTGTGACTTCCTCAGAGAGCCCACTACAGCTTGGCTGCAGGTGTGGATGGAGGGGGTGGGGCTGGGCCATGCTTAGGAGAATAGGGCAGACATGGTGGAAAAACCGGAAAGGTGAGGGCTGAGGGGGTGGGGATGGGGGAACACAGGATGGCTATCAACCCAGGGCTAACACACGAACATACCACACACTTAACCCAATGTAGCAGTTACATGATATGAATCTTTTATCCTTGACACACTGTTGCAAGTAAATGGATCCACTTATTTTTTTAAGATTACATTCACTGGGTTTTTTAAACACCATTTTAAGTAATAATTTCACTGTAAAAAGAAAACACCTGAAAATACAGAAAGATGTAAAGAAAATGAATCACCTATTAACCAACCACTCAGAAATAACCATTATTATGTCATACTTATTTTCAGGTTTTCTCCTCATGAGCGCACATATAAAAAGTTTGGAATGATGGTGTTATGACATTTTTGTACACCATGAATTACTTCCTTGACTTTAAAAGTCACTGTACGAAAAACTCCTTAAAATGTTAGCTGTCGGGGTGCCTGGGTGGCTCAGTTGGTTAAGTGGCCAACTTCAGCTCAGGTCATGATCTCACGGTTTGTGAGTTCAAGCCCCAAGTTGGGCTCTGTGCTGACAGCTCAGAGCCTGGAGCCTGCTTTGAATTCTGTCTCTAGCTCTCTGCCCCTCCCCCGCATGCGCTCGCTCTCTCTCTCTCTCTCTCTCTCTCTCTCTCTCTCTCTTAAACATTAAAAAACATTTTTTTTCATGTTAGCTGTCATTATGTTTTTAAGACCTAAATCAGACCAGCAGGAACTTTGTCTTTTACATAATTTGTAAAGTACCTAGCACATTGTAGGTCCTTAAAACCTATTAAACAGTTTTAAATGACTAGACTATTTGTCATAATCTGTATCTTCAAAATTCCCTAGAACAACAGTGATATATAATAATGGTGATGTCTATATTATGTCATTGAACAATTCTGGTATTATTTCAATGAGTTTTAATACTTGCCTGTTCTTCTAACTGCATTTTATTTTCTGTCATCTGTTCTATGAGTTTATCAAGTTTCTTTAAAGATTTAAGGTCATTTCCAACTTCTTTTTCTATAAATGCAGACACGTAGGAAGTGAGATCACCATTATCTGTATCTTCACTGACTTGTTCATTTCCAAAAAGAGCTGCAATATTTATGTCATCTAAAATGAAAGAATAACAATTATTTAACATTACCAAGCACCACAGGATTAAAGGAAATACAAAAGATATACAAAGGGGGGCACCTGAGTGGCTCAGTCAGTTCAGTGTCCGACTTCAGCTCAAGTCATGATCTCAGAGTGTGAGTTCGAGACCCACATCAGGTTCTCTGCTGTCAGCATAGAGCCTGCTTCAGATCCTCTGTCCCTCTCTCTCTCTGCTTGCATGCTCTCTTTCTCTCAAAAATAAACATTTTTTTAAAAAGGAATTCTTTTTAAAAAATGCCTTAAAAAAAGAAAAAAATAGTATTGAAAGATTTTGAGTCTATGAAAAAAATTGAAAAGGTGACCGAGTAAAAACTCTTCCTTATGTAAGAGTAAAAAAGTTGGGTTTTAAAAAATGTTTATTCATTTATTTTGAGAGAGAGTGAGAGAGAGCATGCATGGAGGAGGAGTAGAGAGAGAGAGGGAGAGAGAATCCCAAGCAGGCTCATGCTATCAATGCAGAGCCTGATGTGGAGATCGATTTCACAAACCGTGAATCATGACCTCAGCTGACATCAAAGTCAGACGCCTAACCGACTGAGCCACCCAGGAGCCCCGAGTAAAAAAGTTTCAAAAGCTTCAAATACCATTATACAAAACTTTCCATGTCAGAAAAAGGAAAAAAGGGAGCTTGAGAGAAAACACAAATTACTAAGGAAAATTCAAAATGACTGATGGAACCACTAAATTGCACAGTCCGACATGAGGATCCTTCTGTGGCAAATAAACTAGACTCACACCAATCCACAGTGTACTTATTAAATGTGACAAAAACAGGTGATTTGGAGCCCTGAGCCATTTCTCGGGAAGAGTGGGAGCAGAGGCAACATGGACGGTGGCTGAGCAAACAATGTGCAGTGAAACCAGGAGCTCCTGGGTAGCTTTGCTCCCATCCCATTTAGCATGTGGGCAGATTTCCCTAAGAGCCCGTTCCTTACTCTCCGCCTGAAACCTAGCATTGCCTATCGTTTCCACGTCAGTTTTTCACTCTGCAAGCGTCTATACCTTCTTCCAGTATCCACAATGTTTAAGGCAAAATTAAGCAATTTAAGCTGCCTCTAATTCTTTGTGGAAAGAGGCAAGATTCAGATACATAAATAAAAAATGTTCAATTTTTATTTAAAGAAACAAACTTCTAGTAAATGCTTGATTCACTTCAAAGGCAATTAAGTGATCTTCCACTGTCCTAAATTTCTGGACCGACAGCACTGCTCCTCTCTTCCAGAGTATCTCCAGCTCTATATCTATTCCAGGGTGGACGTGCCCTAAGCGCCAGAGAAAGTGGAAGGCCACAGCAGCTTCCTGACAAAGAAGGTAAGAGTGACAAGATTCGCAATGGCTGCCGCGTCTCTTTCCACACCACCCTGGTGTGCTGAGGTACACTGTTTCCTCTGTAGTATCTGTTTCCATGTGCAGGCTATTCCCTTTTAGTAACTCATGGAATCCTTCCAGCAGAAGGTTAGGAAACTCGGTATAATGGTAGCTGCGAGCGTGCCACTGTGGGGTCCCTAGGCTCCCTGCTGCCCAACATGCTTGACTCCACTCAGTGCACGGTGTGAATTATTTTGCAGACGGGGCTTAATCTCCCTAGATTTGAGTAGCACCTACAAATTAAAAAAAAAAAAAAAAGATAACGTAGAAGTGTAAGAGGAACAGCAATTGATTTCCAGATGAAAGTAAGTGCTATAAAATAAGGCCCCAGAGAAAAAGCAGACTTCCTGGAAACCAAACCTTAGAATAAACCTGAACATGCAGTGCATTTCTCTACCTCAGGTTTAACTAAAGGATGTGGTCCTCCCTAAACAAACCATTCACGGTGTTTGTAAACAAATGAAAAGCTTGATTGTACTAGTTTATGGTTAGTTACAAAGACTACAGCAATTTCTAAAAAGAACAAAAGAAAAAAGAAAAACAAAAAAAAGTGTGTGTGTGAGAGAGAAAGCTGGGGAAACAATACGGAGCCTCCTGGGGAGCAATACTGGTTGAACTTTGCCTCTGTTCTTCCTGGAGCTGCCCTTGTAGAAGTTGGCTCTTCACCAAAAATGAAGTTTTAAGAAAGCAGCAATGAGAGAAGGCAAGAGGTTAGACAAGAGATTATAATCAGCCTCATTACGAAACAACTGTTACTTCTGATCAAATGAAAAATGAAAAGAGAGAGAGAGAGAGATGCCTAAATGCAAAATATAACTGTCAGATTTTGCTCATTTAGGATTAAGAGAATACATACCAATGTGTTTAGTACTAGGTTATGTTCCTCCCCCAGCCCCCAAACCCAAATTTTCCTTTGTTCTATTCAACTTATGAGTATTCAAAGTGCGTCCATGTGCTATGAGAAGCAGTAGCCCACCAGTAACTAGGAGCAAAACTAGCATAAATCTATGCCTTGACTTCCCAACTATAAATTGTACCATTTGCCCAGCTGACACCTAAAGGTTATACACGGCATTAAAATCCATGTTTCCTGACCCTCAACCCAAGTTTCTTACTTTTTTTTCTCCTTCAAATATGAGAATAGGCTGGTTTGCATCAAACTTCATTAATGCAGAATCCATCTACGGTTATGGACAAGAGTCACAGTGTCCTCTTTTTCTAGTTTAATCTTGAATAAAACAAGTATGTTGTACATTCCATCTGCAGACACCTAGAGGCAGGGCTTTGTGGAGGGAATGTTTTCCTGTAGCTTAGGGAGCAAATTCTATCTTCATTTACTTTTACTTACTGTTTTTTTTAATAAAAAATTTTTTTTGTGGGGGGCACCTGCGTGGCTCAGTCAGTTGAGCCTTGGACTCTTCATTTCACCTCAGGTCCTGATCTCATGGTTTGTGGGATCGAGCCCCACATCGGCTGTCTTGTGGAGCCTGCTTGAAATACTTTCTCTCTTTCTCTCTCAAAATAAATACATAAACATTAAAAAATATATATATATTTTTTGCACCTACTTTTAAATTCTATTCTTTTGACATCACCATTTAAATGCAGTAAGTATATTCTTGGTCAAATGACGTTCTTTAAGATGACACACTGGTGATTTGGGAGGTTTTTATGACTCTCCTTTTCTGTTTCTTGTAATAAGCACCCCTAATTGCAAACAAGTTGACCAAGCCACCAGAGGGATAAGGACGAAGTCTATAGTCTGTGTCTATCATTCTACTAAATGACATCTCAGTAGGCATCAACTTCTCACGCATCTGAATAGGCAAAGGTGGGAAAGGGAAGGTTTAACTAAAAGACAGAGGGTACTCTCCAATCTTTTAAAAAAGGAGCTGAGCTATGACCGTCAAGTGCTATGGGCTACTTAGAGCTTTCCTTCCAAGGCAGAATGTATCCGCAGGCATGGTAAGGGCAAGCCTAATTCCTGAAGACATTATGGTAATGTGGACACCCTTCCTCCTACCACTACTCATTCCTAGACTATTTGCCATGGTCAGAAGAACCAAAAACCCTCTGATGGAAAAGCTGTTACATGCCTTTCCCCTTCCTCCCCCAATAAACTTCACTTCAAAAGCCACTGAAGATTCCCTGATTTCCAGAAGCCTGCCATGCTTAGCTCATTACAGTAAAATGACAAATGTCCACATCCCTGACATGTGCTCCTGTCCTCGATAGGAAATGGAGATGCTGACCTTTTCCCTCTTCCTTGTCCAGACCAAGATTCAGGAAACAAGTTATCCCTTGTATTTTTCTTCCCAGATCAACTTTTACTGGCAAATTCACTGAAGGTAAAGTACCACTAGACAGTTACCATTTTGACTCTAATTAAGGCGGTGGTCATCTCTCCTAGATCATTAATTAGCCCCTCCAAATTCCTGATGCTTGATAAGTTGTTGTTTCATTAAGATAACAGGCAGGCCCCAATTATTCTGAATTGGTGCAGGGGGCAGACTCCAGTGAAACTACACCAGTCCCTGCACTAAGTCTGGGTCAGGAAGTATAGCTTATCTTCAAATTATCCCACATTTTACAATTTTAGAAAGAAAGATAGGTGCATGATGATAACCAGTACTTAATACAATGCAAGTATATTGTAGCAAAAAAAAAAAAAAAAAAAAAAATGGAGAGATTCATCTTAAAGACAACAGGCTACGACTCTTCTGCTCTTCTGCTCCGCAGACCCTGGAGGGCTGAGTTTAGGAGAGATGGCTGGGTAAAGAATGGTAAGGTGTTTCGAGTCTGCTTACTTTTCTCCTCGACGTCCTTCCTTTCGTTACCACTTTCAGAGCAGCACTAGAAGAACAGGTGTAACAAACACATTAAGACTGGAGTGATAGGTGGAACTCCTCAGGATTCCCAGAGGGCGCGAGGTCCCAGACTCCCTCCCCTGGGGTCTTCCTGAGGGGTCAGGGCCATCTAACGCAGGTGGCCCTGAGGACCACCACTGCCACCTCCCCAGAACCGCTGGAGTTACCTTGCCCAGCCTCAGGGCATGTCTCTACGTCCCTAGAGACAACTATCTGTGTCATCTCATCAGGGTCGCCAGAGCCACCGCCCTGGGACCACCTTCTCTGGGAGGTCCGTGTCACCTCGCCAGATTGGAAGGCCTGTCTCCCCGGGCCACGGAAACCACGTCCCCAGGCCGCCAGGGCCACCTCACCGACGCAATCTCCTTTGGCAGATTTGTGCCACCTCCCCGGGCTACCAGCGTCCCCTCCCCGGGCCACCAGGGCCGCCTCACCGGGGCTGCCGGCGCCTTGCCTATCTCGGCGGCCGGGAGCATCCCGTCTCCGCGCGAGTCCTCGGCTCCATGAGCAGCCAGCGTGGCTTGTAGAGTTCCGCTGAGGCCAGCGGCCAGACACCGGCTCTCCCTGGGAGACCGTGGGGCTGGGCGCCACCTCCACTTCCCCTCGCCGTCTCTCTGATTTCTTCCTCTCCTCCCAGAGAGGCCCTGCCCGCGCAGCCTGGGCCAGCCATGCGCGGTGGCGCCCTCTGCTGGCAGGGGGCCAGCACGGCCGTTCAGGAAGCGGGCGCCAGCCCCCCAGGCTCTCGGGAGAAAGGGGGGCGGGCCTTCTCAACCTCCGCCACACCTCCACCTCGCGGGGGTCCTTGCGGATGGAGCTTGAAGGTACCCCACCCTCTACACCATAAGTTCCTTGTGAACTTGTGTAAATTCCTTGTGTTCAGCTTATCCTTTAGATGAGACCCCAGATGTTCTCAGAGTGTGAGGGGGCTTGTTGGCTAACTTTAATGTAATTTGGTCGGCCTGTTTAGTTGGGGGAAATTCCAATGTCATTATCTTGGGATCTTTCTTTTAAGGCTGATCAGACCCAGCTAGAGATGACCCTCCACTTTTCTGCCTGTAGGGTGCAGATCTGGTTGTAAACGACTGGGAGCTGAATGGCAGAAGAGGACTCAGCATCAAATATGCACTTTACCCCGTGCAGAGGCCCCAAAAACGTGGCCTTTGACAAGAAGGAGGAACATGAGGGATCTGGAAGCAAGAGGCAGGTAGAGGACCCAGGGATTCGACTTCAAAAACAAACATGGGAGGTGGTATCAAAAAGACTAAAACAAAGGAGGGTGGGAGGGAACAACCCATAGAGGAAACAGAAACCATTTAGTGAGAAGAAAATTTTAAAATATATATATCCTGTATACATTGTCTATATACATTGTACATAGAATATATATAATCAATATCTTGAGATGTGAGGTACCACTGCAACCATAAAACAATAAATAACAGGATACTGTTTTTAAAAGAGTATTTAGAGGGGTGCCTGGGTGGCTTAGCCGGTTGAGTGTTGGACTTGATCTCGGCACAGGTCATGAGTTCACCATTCATGAGTTTGAGCCCTGGCTGGGGCTCAGCACAGAGCCTGCTTGGGATTATCCCCTTCTCTCTCTGCCCCTCACCTGCTCACTTGCTCTCGTTCTCTCTCTCTCAAAAGAAATAAACATTAAAATAAATAAATAAAAAGAGTATTCAGAGACAAATATGATTGCAGAAATGGAAAGTTCAATAAAAGAGTTGGAAGATAAATGTTGGGAAATATCTGAGGCGGGGGGGGGGCAAGCAAAAGGACAAAGAAATGAAAAATAAGAAAGAAAGAAAAAAAAAGAAATTAGAGGACCACTGCAGGAGATCCAAAATCTGAAAAATAAAAGAGTTCCGAAAGAAAAACCAATCACTCCTTAGGGAAAGAATGATCATCACCAAAAAATTCAAGACAATGCCTCCAAACTAAAAGTCACGAGTTTCCAGATTAAAAGGGCCCACTGAGTGCCCAGCACAATGGATAAAAGATGACTCATCCCAAATCATCATTGTGAAATTGTAGGACATGGGGGGGGGGGGGGGGGGGGGAACAGAAAAACTAAGGTTTAAAGAGAGAAAAACAGATCACTTAACAAAGAGTCAAGAGTGAAAATAACTTTCAATTTTCTCAACAGTCAAAAAAAAAGCTAGAAGACATAGGAGCAAATTCTTTTTTTTTTTTTTTTAATGTTTATTCAGTTTTGAGAGAGAGCGTGAGCGAGGGAGTTGCAGAGAGAGAGAGGGGGCAGAGGATCCAAAGCGGGCTCTGCACTGACAGCAGCCAGCCTGATTCAGGGCTTGAACTCAATAAACCGTGAGATCATGACCTGAGCCGAATTCTGACACTTAACCGACTGAGCCAACCGACTGAGCCACCCAGGTACCCCATAGGAGCAAATTCTATCAAATTTCAAAAGGAGATTTATTTCAAACTAGTATTCTACACCTGATGAGTCAAATACCAATCAAGTGTGGGTAAACAATAAAGGTATGTCCCAACATTCAAAGATCTCAAAAAATTTCCCTTTCATTTACTTTTCCTTCCTCAGGATGCTTCTGGAGGTTGTGCTCTACTAAAATGAGGGACTAAACAAAGAAAAAAAGAAGATATAGGATATAGGAAACAGAAGATATAATGCAGGAGAAAAATGATTTGAGAGGCCCTGACAACAATTCTTCACTAGACATGGATTGGTACAGGTCCAGAAGGCCCAGAAGAGACTCCATTTTCAGATGAAACTGATAGAACACCTCGTCTATCTAAGTCTTGGGAAGCAGAGATTGAAACAATCGTTAAAAAGTTTGGGCTTGGCTTGGTGATGGATAGTAAACCAAAACAAGATAATAACTGCAGGAAAAACAAAAAGCTGAGCAGGAGAAGAAAAGTGATCATAGTATATACTACTTGGCCCAAGATGTAAGTAATGTTTACCTAATCATAATGAAGTAAACAAAAACCTATTAAAAAAGGACAATATAACTAGATTGAGCAGATCAAAGGATGAAAAGTGTGGTGGCAGTGGGGAAAAGAATAGGGAAAGAAAGAAGAACTAAATCCTCATTTCCCACTAAGTGAAATCAACAGATAATGCCTAGAAGTGAGAAATCGAGAAATAGCAATGCAAACATTTTATATAGAGAACTGAAAGTAAATATCAAAATAACCAGTTAAAAGACAAAAATGACTGCCTTTAAGGAGGGGGAAATTGGTAAGGGGGGGTACAGTCTCTGCTCTTTCATTGCAATTTATAAGATTTCTACAGAATTATTTGGCACTAAATCACAGACATGCATACTCTGATAAAAATTAAAAATAACATTAAAGGGAAAAAAGATTGCTCTAAACCCAGATTTTTGCTTCTGGAGAATTCACTTCTGGTAAGGGAAACAGAAATGAAAATAAATTAAGATTGAATGCAGTAGACTCAACCACGGAAATGTTTGCAATGACTGAGGGAGCACAGAAAACAATTGACTACTATCTGGGGAGTGTAAAGAGGCAATCTAAGATGGACAGAATAGTAGGCAATAATAAGGACGAAACGAGATACAGTGTATGTTTTGGGCCCTTACCAGTTCATAGTGCTGGTGTGGATTAAAAGCAGGATCCCGAATATTATACATAACATACATGTTAGGATGTCATTTGAAAGTCAAGGAGAACATTAAATTGTTAAATGATTATTAGAGGGAGTTGGAATTTGGGACAGGCTTTGAACACTTCTGTATTATTTTAACTATAAAAGCCAATAAAGGGCTGTCATTTTGAAAAACAGAAAACTAAAAATGCATGTTTCACTTGGACCTTGTCTGAGGCGGTTCAGGATAAAATGCAGTAAGTTTTGATCATGGATCTAGCTAGCTAACAGCCAAAGGAATGTGAATGTTCTTTCCTTCCATATGCATTTATGAGGCGTTCGGCCTCAGAGAAGATAATTTTTAAAGTATACAAAAATTTAAAGTTTAGGATTGAATTTTTACTGTGTCTGTGGTAAACATATGTGCAGTTGCTGTCATTGGGACATTAACCTATGAATTAGCCATAGCCCAGGACATGTGATTATACCTGGATTAGGGACAGAAAACTGTCCTCAACTGAGGTGACTGATCTCAGAGAAAGACAGTATAGAATCCTACCAGTCTGAGTGAATTATCCATACTGAGTATGGATAATGTAAACCCAGATTTTAAAAACAAGTCTACAACTACTATAGGAAACAAAGTGGGGTTGTTCAAAAAATTGAAAATAGAATTAATATACAACAATACCACTTCTGGGTATATACCCCAAGAAATTGAAAGCAAGGTCTCAAATAGATATTGGAGCACCCGTGTTCATAGCAGCATTATTCACAATAGCCCAAAGGCCAAAGCAACTCAACTGATAATAGGGGAACAAAACATGCTATATATATGTAATGGAATATTATTCAGCCTTAGATAGGAAGGAAATTCTGCCACATGCTGCAACACGTGTTGCATCCTTAATGGATGAACATTAAGGAAATAAGGCAGTCACAAAGGGACATATGGCTATATGATTCCACTTATAGGAGTTACCTACAACTGTAAAATTCACAGAGAGAAGAGTAGAATAGTGGTTCCCAGGGCTAGGAGGTGGGGAGACTGGGAATTTGCTACTTCCTGGATAGAGTTTCAGCTTTGCAAGGTGAAAAGCCTTCTGGAGATGGATGTTGGTGATGGTTGTACAACATTGTGAATGTACTTAATGCCACTGAATGTACACTTCAAAATGATTAAAGTGATAAATTTTATGTTGCATGTACTTTACCACAATTTAAAAAACCAAGTCTAATAGAAATTAAAGGACTTGAAATAATATATAGGTGTTTCACTGAGGATTGAAATTTGGCAAAATAGTGCAAAAACTATTAGAGGCCAGAATTTGGTCGCGAAACGTGTGCTACTTGAAGAGGATGGAAGGAGTATGGATTTTATTTTTCTTCACACAGAAGCACAAACTTGCTATGATCAGTTTTTTTCTGGAGCCTATCCTATTGAGGAGCCGTCAAGCAGGAGGGGTAAATCGAAGAAGTGGGAAAATGCTTCTCTCGGATCCCCTGCACTTGAAGGAATAATATATAGAACAATATATTCCCTAAAGTTATTCTTTTCCTTAAACTAGCCGCATGTGTTGGGGCAACACAAAACGGCCATAACCATGTGGAAGAAACCTTTATTAAAATACGTGAAGCATTCGTTAAGGCCATGGCCACGACCACTTTAGAAGTCCTAAAGACTGTCTGAAGGACTCTGGTGCACGATGAAATCCCTGTTTGCCCGGGCCCTGGAGAAATCACTGTTTGCCCAGGGCCTGGACAGGCTCCCGCCTCCGTGAGCTGGCAAAGCCGCAGTGAACCAACGAGCTTCCCCCAGGCAGAGGCCACTGGGTCACTGGGCGGTGGAGAGGGGCGGGGCCTCGTTGCTCCGGGCCCGCGCGGAGGCGGGGCCGGCGGCGGAGGGCGGGCCCCGCCCCGAGGGTGGGGCAGATTAGCGGCGGCGCGTAGCTGCGCCGCACGTGTGAGAGCTCCGCGCCCGGCCAGTGCGCCCGCGCGCTCCGGGACCCAGGGGCTGAAGACGCTGACGGCGTTGCCTATGCCGGGGCGCCCTCGCAGCTGGCTCTTCCGAGTGGCCCTCGTCGCCGCCGCCCTCCTGCGCCCAGAGCAGCGCGCCCGCCCCCTCGCCGCCCGGCCCGGGCCGCGCCCGCGCTCCCAGGCCCCGGGTAAGTGCGTGGCCTCGCCGCAGCCACCCGGGCTCCACGGCCCGGCCTCAGGGCCCCGCCCGGAGGGGCAGTGCGGCCTGGGAAGGCGTCCCGGCCGCGGCGTGAGCGCACGGCTTGCCCACGGCGCCTCCATTACTGGCCGTGCCCGCGGAAGCGCGGCTGGAGCCTGGCGATCCTCCTCCCGCGGTGCCAGCCCCGCCCCCCCTTCCGGGGCCGATCCGCAGGGGGCCCAGTGCCCTCCCGCCTCCCAGTGGCGCTGGCCGCCCTCCGTTCCCAGCCCCTTTCCTCCCTTTCTTTGCCCCGGGAGCTCCCTAAACTCCTCTCCTCGCCAAAGAGAAAACCGGCCTCTATCCCGGGGCCCTTACAGCCTCGGTATATCGCGGGGCAGGTCTTCTGCAGGGTAAAGCCCACGTGCTTTCTCTCGTCCTCGTTTTCACC